CCAGAAGGAGCTAGGTATGTCTCATCTGGACAGCCAACGGCGTAGCACAGAGACCTGGAGAAGGTAAGGAGTCTACCAGGTGCCGGGCGTGGCACAAATACATGGCTCATTTAGTCCAAACCAAGTATTCTAAGTTAGAGATTAACAGTCTCAGCTCACAGACGGAAGCTTGACGTTCAAAGACATTAAGAAACCTTCCAAAGCCACTCTTGAGTAAGGAGTAAAAACCCGTTCCTTCTGCTCCATCCCTGTGCTTTTTCCTGCTCTAAGACCCGTTGGCACAAAACACGTAACCCCTTATTACCTCATCTTCTCTCCTTCAAAAGAAGAGGAAATGGCCCTCCTGCCCTAATCACTTCCCAGAGTTGCTAGAAGGATAAAACACAAATACATACATCTTAATTGCTAGAGATCTCTGATTCTCAAAGTACATTCACGTTGTCAACCCTCCAGTGTAAGCGTGCGTTTACAGCACTGCACTGTCAGGTCTCACAAAAACTTCAGTTTTCTATTGGCTGGAATAACGAGAAGGACAATTAACCTTCAAGATACCTTACAAAGCTGATTAATATAAAATTAATAAAGAGGGGCACCTGGGTGTCTTGGTCAGTTAAGTGTCTGACTTCAGCTCAGGTCATGATCTCATGGTTGGTGAGTTCAAGCCCCGTATCGGGCTCTGCACTGAAGCATGGACCCAACTTGGGATTCTCTCTCTCCCTTTCTCCCTGCCCCTCCCTGCTTTCAAACACAAAAATTAAAATTAAAAATGAAATAAAAACAAAATTAACATCGGTAAATACTTTCTATGAATCTGGCTCTGGGCTAAGCCTTTCTGTGCCTTCTCTCCTGTGAGCCTCACAGGAACCCTTAAGGTGGGGTTACAATTCCCCCCATTTCCAGACATGAACACAGAGGCTTAGAGCACTTACGAGGCACACCTGAGGTTGGCCAGCTCCTGAGCAGTTAGTGGATATTTCAACCCAACCGCTTAGCAAGTCCTTGTCGTTAAACATGATACTCCACCAACCTCAAACACTCAGATGAAGACCCAATGAAAGTGCTCTCCAAATGGCAAAAACTTCCCTTAGAAGGCAAGTTTCCATTTTGTATCAACCACAAGGAACACAAGGTAGGAGTTGGGCCCATTACAGAAGCAACCGCAGATCTCTTTGAAAAGTTAATGCTCTTTACGCTAATCCTGCCATTGTGTCAGCTTTATCCTTTGAAAAACGTATTAACACATACAGTTAGCGTTTTATTATTCTAGTTCTGTTATTAATCCCCAAGTTCTTCCAGTATTTATCAAGAAAAAATTTTAAAACCACCCTTTTTACAGAGCACCTGTGTGGCTCAGTTGGTTAAGCAGCCAACTTCGGCTCAGGTCGTGATTTCGCGGTTCATGAGTTCAAGCCCAGCGTAGGGCTCTGTGCTGACAGCTCAGAGCCAGGAGCCTGCATCAGATTCTGTGTCTCCGTCTCTCACTAGCCCTCCCCTCTCAAAAATAAAATAAACATTAAAAAGACCTAAAATTAGGAGCGCCTGGGTGGCTCAGTCAGTTAAATGTCTGACTTTGGCTCAGGTCATGATCTCATAGTTACTGAGTTCATAGTTACTGAGCTGTGCTGACAGCTCAGAGCCTGGAGCCTGGTTCAGATTCTGTGTCTCCCTCTCTGCCCTTCCCCTGCTCACTCAAGCACATGCTCTCTCTCTCTCAAAAATAAAAACATGACAAAAATATTTTTAAAAACCAAATAAAAAATAAGGTTGCCTAAAGGAAATCAATAACATGATCATTAAAAAGAGATGATAAAGTAACTCCCTCTGAAGAAATTACCTGAAAGCTAGTGGAGATTTTCTTGTGGGAATTTTCTTCTTTATAGTAAAGAAAATCGAGCATAGCAAACTGACTGGATTAGAGACCCAATGATTGGTGTTTTCTGATAGTAATAAATGAAAACACCAGACTGATGATTGTTTTTTTTTTTTCTAAAATTGTTCTTTTATAAAAGTTAATACTTGCTTTTGCTTTGGGGCTGAACTAAATGGTGCTTTTAAAAAAACACGATGAGATGTTTAGAATCTCTAATTTCAAGATCATTCATGAACCCTAAGACTAACTATGAGAAGGAACAGGGATGAGATGAGGAAGATACTCTATTCATGTTTATTTTTTAAAGTATTTTTGAGACTCTTAAACACTGAGAACTGAGGGCTGATGGGGTGGAGGGAAGGGAAGGGGGTTGATGGGCATGGAGGAGGGCACTTGTGGGGATGAGCACTGGGTGTTATATGGAAACCAACTTGACAATAAACTATAATAAAATAAAAAAAATTTTAAAATAAAGTATATTTATTTATTTTGAGGTGTGGAGGGGCAGAGAGAGAGAGAGAGAGATGGACAGAGAGAATCCCAAGCAGGCTCCACATTGTCAGCACAGAGCCCAACACCGGGCTCAAACCCATGAACCGTGACATCATGACCTGAGCTGAAATCAAGAGCCATAGCTTAACTGACTGGGTCACCCCGGAGTCCTTCCACTCGTGTGTAAAAGACAGAGTGTGGAGGGGCGCCTGCATGGCCGTCAGTTAAGTGTCCGACTTTGGTCAGGTCATGATCACGCAGTTCATGGGTTTGAGGTCCACAAACTCAAACTGCTTCACATTCTGTATCTTCCTCATTCTCTGACCCTCCCCTGCTCACGCTCGCTCTCTCTCTCTCATAAATAAATAAAACATTAAAAAATTTTTAAGAAAAAAAAAGAGTGTGGAGTATGCCACTTGCTAGCATGATTTTTAGAGGGAACCTAGATTTCAGATACATTCTCGAATCATTTCATCCTACAATTAGGTCACAGTGAAAATACTGTTCAAAGGTGTCAGGAGAACCAAATACAATTCCTAGAGCACAAAGCAAAGGAGTGTGTGTGTGTGTGTGTGTGTGTGTGTGTGTGTGTGTTTTAGACCTGCATTCATGTGTGTGTGTGTCCACAAGCATGTGTGTGTTTTAATCAGTTCAACACTAGATGGCTCTAGTTACAAAACCAATGCATTTCACAAGGTCTAAAATCCTGAGATGTGACAGAAGAGAAAAGATGGATTCCAACCTTGTGAATCCAATGCTGCTTTCTTCCCGTCTCGCAGACATTAAGAACAGCAGCGAGCTTTTAGGTTTAAAGTGCTGTGCTTCTCTGAAGGAGAAGCTTAAATCCTAGAAGTCCTTATTTCACAGATGAAGACGTTCCCCTAAGACAGCCTTAAGGATGCAGATTTAATTTGCTCTGTAATTATTCCCCCTTGCACTCTGATGGGACCCTATTATTTTCAAGTCAGTTTCATGTATGCCAATGCAGCTGACCCACTGCATAATCCTGAGGGAGATGCCATTCTCATCGAAGGCGAAGATGCTGAGACCCACACAAGGGGTAGAAACTTGCTCAAGGTGACCGAGCCCCTGAGGGATGATGTTAGCAGTGGACTCCCCAAGCACCAGCTCCTGGCTCAGAGCCCTTTCTACACAGTACACCAGGAAAGGCATTCGGGCCGCAAGTTTTATCTCCTGCTTTCTATATTCCTGTGTGCTTGCCTCAGTCTTCCTCCTCAACATCCCTATTATGGAAGGACTGTCTGTCCTGTGCTTCTCTATAGCCAGCATGCTTCTGTCAGTAGTTGGGCCCTAGAAAATTAGCCTCCTCTTCCTTGAACGGAAGCCAAGTGAGAGTAGCCTCTAAATCTAGTTTGGGGGGTCTGTGACTTATAAGCCAAATTTTACTCAAAACTGGGAGGGCTTTGGTTTTGTGGGGTTTTTTCTTTTAAATTTTTTAAAATGTATTTACTTAATTTGAGAGAGAGAGAGAATTCCAAGCAGGCTCTGCACTATCAGCACAGAGCTTGATGCAAAGTCTCAAGCTCATGGACCATGAGATCATGACCGGAGCCGAAATCAAGAGTTGGATGCTTGGGGCACCTGGTGGCTCCATTAAGTATCTGACTTTGCTTTAAGTCATGATCTCAAGGTTTGTGAGTTCGAACCCCATGTCGGGCTCTGTGCTGACAGCTCAGAGCCTGGAGCCTGAATCGGATTCTGTATCTCCCTCTCTGCCCTTCTCCCACTCACATGCTGTCTCTCTCTCTCTCAAAAATAAATTAAAAATAAATAAATAAAAACATTAAAGGGGCGCCTGGGTGGCTTAGTCGGTTAAGCGTCCGACTTTCGCTTAGGTCATGATCTCGCGGTTCGTGGGTTCGAGCCCCGCGTCCGGTTCTGTGCTGACTGCCAGCTCAGAGCCTGGAGCCTGTTTCGGAGTCTGTGTCTCCCTCTCTCTCTGACCCTCCCCTGCTCACACTGTCTCTCTCTCTCTCTCTCTCTCAGAAATAAATAAAACATTAAAACATTTTTTTAAAAAAGTTGAAAGGAGCAGCTATTATAGAAAAGAAGCATGTTTCCCCACCCCATCTGACCCTGTTTACTTGGTTACATAAATGCTTTGTGTATTTTGTATTTGTAAGCCAGCATTTATCTACATACTTGACCTAAAACTCCACACTTTACTCTATGTAATACAGCAGTATAAAAAGTGTAAAAAGATTCTCCCAAATTTACCTCAGACTTAATATCATCTTGATGCAACAGAAAACAAGGGAGCTAACATAAATCAAAGCACAGTTATGCACACTGAAGCGAGTTCTACATTTTAAACACAAAACTCATGAAAACGGCATCAAAATAATATTCATGTCAATGGTTTTTAACACAAAATGTATTTCAACGCTGTGAACAAATGCTCACGGTCGTTTGGTCGATTCTGCTGGTCTGTGGTGACCCAATTATCTGGTCAAAGGGCTGCATGGACGTGAGGGACAGGGCGGGTTAAAGTTTAACTCCCAGGAATTGTAAACCAAACCTTAAGCCACTGAACCTTTGGAGTTTGATATGATGATTAGGGCATAACCAGAGTGACACGTTGAACTCGCCATAATCAAGGAAACCTTTTCCGGGTGGGGATCTCTGAAATCACTCAGGTACGGTGCATGCGTTTTGCTTTTTCTGCTTCAACTCTGGGAAACTGTGCAGTGAGGCTTAGTGGAAATGCAGTGAGAACAGCTTCTACCCTCTTCTACTCTGGAGCCTAATTCAGGGCATTTTCTGGCTGTTTTGATATGAATGGAGCCACCTAAAAACAAAGGAATAGACTGGAATCATCACATAATCTCAGGATGAAATGGCAGCCATCTTCTGCTACTTGGTTTAATCCAATTCTGAGGCTAAAAAGTAGATTTACCACTCTAGGTTCAAGAGTAGGGCTAATGTTTTTGAGAAGTATATTTAGCAGTAGCCAGACAGCTGGGAAAATTGTGGTCGACTGTCCTGATCCTAGCACCCCCCGGAAACATAAAAAATGTAATTACAGGAGAAATAGCATTAATATCACTAGCAGATACTGAGTCCCCAGTGTAGGCCACGATTCCTATTATACTTGAGATCTTGTATATTCAATTTTCTCCTTCCCTCTCTCTTACCCTTCACAACCACCAAAAACCAAAACCTAAAACGCAAAACTCCACAGAAAAGAAACCCATGCAAAATCATTTTGGTGAATTCTTGCTATGTCTTTTTCCAGGATCCTACTCACCAAAGGAATGTCCTAAGCTATTTGCTTTTCATTCACAGAAAAAATAAAAATCAAAAACAAAAAACAAAAATAATCATGGAAAAGGATTGGCTTTGAGTGTGTTAAATCTCAACCTTGGGGAGAGCTAATTATTAGGTCTTTTTCTTTGGCAATGGCTTAGGCAAGTGCTGCCGCAAATCTATTTTCACAGGATCATTTTGTTCTCCTCAAAAAGATGATTCACGATCAAAATATGATGTGATTTTATCTAAAGAGAGATATCGGTCAGAGCACTTACCAGGAATAACAATTCCTACCAGAAATCTCTTAAACTCTGACTGAAATACTTTTGTTCTGGGATGATTAAAATAAACTCCAAGGAGAAACTGGGCTCTAAGTTAAACAGGTGTATTTGCGTAGGATTTGTCAGATGTGCATTGTGTATCTCCCGGAAGGTGAGGAACACAGCACTATTTGTGCAGTGTGCAGGGTTCGTGTTTCGCAAAACACACATTGACAGACTCTGCTTTCATTATAATTTAGCAGTTTCAGAGATGTGTTGGTCTGGTCTGAAGCATCCTTTGTAAGACGTGTTGAGGTGTATGCAATAGGAATGTAGATTTGGAGATACTGAGAGCACTTACTTGTTGGGGTGCCAAGGCCTTCCCCGGCTGAATACAGAATAATAGACATGAGGCATTGGATTATTTTTCAGGGCCCTGTTTTCCAGAATTATATTAATGCTGCCCATTTGACACCATTCTCACATTCTACTGTTCCAACTTATTATTTATCAGGTGTAAGGGAAGGGGGAAGAGAATTGGCAAAAAGAAAGGAAAAGAAAATATGAACTGACATGATGGATAGGGAATCACTGAAGAGTTGCTATTGATGTTGTCATTGTTATTGTTGTTATTATTATTGAATATTTAGTTACTATTTTTCAGTGGGCTAATCCCAAATTGTCTTTGTGTTGTCTCAAATACAAAATGTCCTACACTGTATTCAGTGGATGTTAATAAATGTGGCCCACCAAAAAGCAACCCCACTGTCAGGTTGAGGAAAGGCAGTTAGGTTAAAGCAGGTCTTCTTATTACATGAATGTTTGGAGTAATAATAACTGCAGGCATTTATTAAGCACGATATTCCCAAGTCCACTCCTGTTTATCTACATTATTCTAAGAACAGCCATAGAAGGTAAGACACTATTATAACATTTTACTAATGAGAAAGTTGAGCACAGATTAGTTACCCACCAGGCTGGACATCACCCAGTTAGGAGTCCACCTCCCCAACCAGGTGGTCCGCATGTAGCCATCATAATTGTACTTGCAGGGACTGGGGACTTACTCTGTGTGTAAATGTATCCACTTCTTGTGTGCATCTAGGAGTGGGCGGTGTTTTGCTTCCTCAGCTTCATTTATAACAGAACATCACTCAGGAACATCTACTAACATGTCTCAGAAATGGTAGTCTTCAGAACACAGATTAAGTAAGAACAAATCATTTTTATAGCCCATAAAACCAGAAGCAATTGCAAGTATCACACCTGAAAATATCTAGGGGACCTGAGAGCCGAGCTATCTTCCGTCAAACAAGGCGTGTCTCTCTTTGAGACTTTCCAAATTAAGTATAGGAACAACACCAGACTCTTCCTCTGACAGAGCTGGGAAGGCCTGTTCCCAAGCTCCTTCGCTGTGTGGCCTCAGGCACACTACTTGACTTCCCTGAACCTCAGATTCCTCAAGTGAGCAATGAGAGTAGCACCTGCCCCACAGAATATAGTGAGGATTTAACAAGATGACAGAGCAAAACGGTTCAAGCGCCAGTGGGGGCACACGGGAGGAATTCAGCCAAACGCTCTCCCCTTCCCATCTCTCTATTTGGAACAACCTCCAGCAAAATTTCCTGAGACTTTCCCAACCTACCCTTCAGCTGCTTTTTGTCAAAACTATACTGATACAGTTTCAATCAAAACCTATACACAAATAATAAAGTTCTGATCAGCCACCAATGGTAACCATATTCTATTTATTCAGATAAAAAGACCAAAAAAAAAAACAAAAACCTTATTTTCTTTTATTCTAAGCAGACAGCAGCAACAGCGATAAAGCACAGTACACTTTTATTTTAGAGAAAGGTGCTCAAGGAAGTGCTTGGCTCAAAGCCCAATGCCCTTTGCAGCAAAATCCTCAAGGCGGCCTGTTGAGAGCGGTTGTTCATTTCATCACCCGGCCTCTTGATGTTACAAATCGGTTTCGGTAACTGTCTTTTAAAATACTGTCATCCCTCGGCAAGCGGGGTAGCACGCTGGGTACTATTGCACAATCGTTTTCATTACCTGATGTGTCTCTAAATGACTCAATCAGTTCAAACAAGACGGTATTGATCGACGGAGGATAAACACCATTTGATCTTATTCATGGAAACAGTAACCAGGCTCCTCTAAAGTGCAATTCTAACAGTCCCCCCCACCCCACCCCAGCCCCCCAGAAAGCACCACTGCAGTGACTTTACATAACAGAAATCTAAATCCCACCTGCCCAATGGCCTGCTACTGTAGGATCCAGGCAGCTGCTAACCAATGTCTCCTGCTGATTGGACCAGGAGAGCTCATGTATCTATCATTCTAGCCCATCCAACCCAATCCAGTGAGGATCTCAGCTTTAAGAACTATGTAAATGTTTTAATTTAATAAATTAAGGGTCTGTGTGGAATCGTTTTGATTGACCCAAACCAAAAATTTAGAGATTTCCTTTTATAAAAATGGCTGCCGTGACTAAAATATGCTGGTATCTTGAGCTCCCTAATTTGATTTTTTTTAAAGTTTACCTACCTATTTTTAGGGGGAGTCGGGACAGAGAGGCAGAGAGACAGACAGAAAATCTCAACCAGCTTCCCCAGCACCAGCGCAGAGCCCAATATGGGGCTCAAACTCACGAACCATGAGAGCATGACCTGACTTAAAATCAAGAGTCAGATATTCAACCTACTGAGCCATCCTGGTGCCCCTTTAATTTGAATTTTTTTAAAGATATATAAACTTATCTTTTTTCCCTTATATGGATATGTACAGGGAATTTAATATATGTAGTTATTAACAATCACATGGAGGGGCATCTGGGTGACTCAGTTGGTTAAACGTCCAACTTCGGCTCAGGTCATGACCTCACAGTTCATGGGTTTGAGCCCCACGTCAGGCTCTGTGCTGACAGCTAGCTCAGAGCCTGGAGCCTGTTTCAGATTCTGTATCTCCCTCTCTCTCTGACCCTCCCCTGCTCATGCTGTCTCTCTCTCTCAGAAATAAATAAAATATTTTAAAAAAATTTTCTTAAATCACATGGAAACTATTTTCCAGGTTTATTTATTCCAACAAGGCTCCCTCCCTGGTAATATTCAGAAGGCACTAATAAGGACTAATTTAACACCCTCTATTTTGCAAGGTTATGTATAGGGTTGTGCCCCCAGAAATAACATGGGTAAGAGAATCGGCACGTGACAGTTTGGCCAGGGGGGATAATCAAGTGACCCAACTGGCTCGTGATTCTATAAAACCCCATCTTCAGTGATTTGGTGATGCCCCCTCTTATACCAGCAGTTAAAAGGATCATTGTTTTGGGATGCCCAAAGTGATTCAAAGAACACTTACATAGCAGAATTACCCACTGTAATACCTTACTCCTATAGAATATTCTAGTTTACAAAGCATTTTATGCAGAAGCATTTAGACTCTTTTTAGTGCCACATTTCTTCCCTGTCAACTCAACTCAACTACTTTCTGCCAGGTCACCAAGTCATTTCTTGTTTTCCCAATCATACAGAGCTAGCTAACTGCAAGTTGACCACTAGAGTTTAGCAGCAGAGCTGGGCTCACACAGTAGAGGGTGGATTGCGTATGGAGGCTTCACCTACTGCACTGGACATAACTGACTCGGTGCTGAGCTGAGAGCCAAGATGAAACTAGGCAGAAAAGTTAAGAATCCCCGTGGAAGGTGAGCGAAAACCTAGTTTCATGGAAAGGACCCTAAAAAAATATTTGAAGCTGTGCACGTGCTTGACCAACCCAGAGGACGTGGGGAAGGAAGGGACTCTGTGCTATGTCCTCAGACACCGGCATGGCACTTGCAGACTATCATGCATCAAGGCAACTGGTGTTCATTCCCTTCAACACACCTTAAGATTCTTCCATCCTGTTTTTCTATCAGGACTGTGTTTAGTGCTCACTTTTCTAGCTGGGTGAATTGGCTTCTGCACAAAGCAAATTGGCTTCTCAGAGTTATTTAAACCTCATACCTCTGATTACTTGTCCTGGAAGTCAGGGAACAGAGTCTGATACCATGGAAGGAGGAACTGTGGACACATAGAAGTGACGGTGTCTGGAACTCTCTTTCCTGAAGATCCCCACCAGTG